CAGCATTGCAAGAACGACACAACGGCTCGAATGATGAGTGCCATGTAGGAAAGACCATGTTTTTGAGTCCAGCACTCCGAACTGAGTGCTCCTAAACCTACATTGCAGCCATTCTTATCATTCATTGTCACCAACATCGTCAGAGTATCATTAATACTTTTTTCATTGATAACATCGATATCATGATTGTGAAAGACGGTTCTGCTAGCGTGATTTAGTTTTAAGCCATGTTAAACGGTATTGGTACATCAATTATAAGCTTTTTTCGACACTTTCAGTCGATCGCTTGGCTTGCTGGCCTCCTGCTAAGTTTGAAGCCAATTCTTCAAACCTCTTATGATGCTCATCATCGAGGACGGCCTCTTTTTTGCACACTAATTTTTTAGCATAGAAACAACTTCAGGCTGATCCACCAGTACAGCTTTCGGCAGCATAGACTTAACGACAACTGGAGGTTATAGCAAATGTTGTGTCATCACCTTTTTATCCATACAAGGGTTTCTTTTGACAACTGCGATAAATCATCATCACTCATTCAGGTTCCATGAACAAATAAGTGATGGGGGACCAATGCAACCGTGCATATGCATGGATAATGGAGACTAGGTTACTTGAAGTGTCTGAATTCATGAAACCGACGACTACTATTAGCAATGCAGAATCGAAAACTACTGTTTTGGCTGACATTAAGTTTTCGATCACGAGGTTTTGTTATGTGCCGAATCCTTTCCAACGCAATTATCTCTGCAACTGGGTATTTAACTTTTGTTGACAGGTTTCTCAGATGAGCCTGCTGCTAGGCAGACTCTTTTGACTATTTAGCGTTGGATATAGTGCTGACATGCTGGCTTTGAATCCTTGGTTCGGCTGAATTTGGAGGTATTTGCTCTTAACGTTCTTCAAATAGACATATACCCATTGGGAGTGTAAGAAACAAGAAACAACCCTCTGATCACTAAAATTTGTAAAAACTATGCCCATTTGCCTATTAATTTATTTATAGTTATTCTGTGGCTCGTGTCTTTGGCCACTCAAAATAAGTGTTAGAGTGTGTATAAAATTGTTTCGTGCCGCTGTCACCGGCACTTCCGGTACTGAGGGCTTTTCATGCAACGATGATTCAGTGAACCACTCAAAGCGGGTTAACGGCAATACATTTTTTTATTCCGATGAGACACAACAGTTTCGTTGGCACTAAAATGACAATTCGGGCGAGG